ATGTGTGGAGGGTGGGTGGATTTCACCTAGCTTAGCATGCTATTTAACAGGGATGCGAACCCTTTGACAAAAAAAAGGGTCCAGGTCCGGGTTCGGATGCAGGACTAAAATTTGAAAGGACCCGTGTCCAGGGTTCGGGTCCTGGTTCAAGGAACATAAAAATAATGACTCAAAATAATATTTTTTTTAAAAATTCATTTATTATTATACTTCAATGTATACATATTCATAATTTACAAATGAAAAATTTAAAAATGAAATAATTTATATTTTAAATGATTTATTCTCCCACAATCATAATACCTTCTAAAATATCATCCTTGAGATTTCCATGTAAAGTAGACAATATATATTTCATAGGTGAAAATTCACGTTCTACCCTTACCTAAAATAGATAGTTATCTTTATAAAATTGTTGTACTTGTGTCGTCGGTACAGCCATGAAGATTCTAGATAAGATATATAATTCTGAATATATTAAAGAATATATTTATATCCTTATTTATTCTCTTAACTTCTGAGAACTTTACTATTAAAGATGCAATAGGCATTTTTTGATCCTCCTTTCTGTCTGATGATAATTTGATTTTTTTTTCTCTATCTAAAAGTTAAAATTTCAAGATCATCAATGATTATTATCACTACAACCAATAGGTATTGTCGTAGCCTGCAAATTGTAAATAATGGAGTTTTGCTTATGCCATAAACCCTTAAGATGGTCTTTAGCCATTTGTTTTTGCTCATATACTCAATAAAACTTGATATCGAGGGTCTAAATATATTGAAGCCTATACAACACTATTTTGCAAATATTGTTGCTCTCGAATTTTCATTTTTTCTAATATTTCTTATAAAAAGGATTGTAAAATTTTCTAAATCTAATCGGCATCTAATCCATATGCCTTAAAATCAAAAAAAAATAATTGTTCTGATTGTAATCTTAATATTGTTATTTTTAAAGGAAATAATACAATATTAAGGTCCTTTATTTGGCACAAATCATCTTCCGACAAAATGACTTCACATCTCCTATAATAAAATCATTACAGAAATCTTTCAAACTTAATCGTTCTAGCATAATACAAATTGAGGACCAACGTGTTGTGCATTATCATTAAAATATTATTACTACTACAAAATAATTCACTTTCAAAATAATCAACGTATTTCTATAACGTAGCATATTAATAAATTTACATAATAAAATATTATTACACTGGAAAATAATTTATGATATCAAACTCTAAATAAAATGGAAGTCCAGGGAAAAAATTGGAAGAAAAACACGAAGATAAAATAAATGATTCCACAAAAAAAAGTTAATAAAATTTAAAAAATTTATATTATTTTTTTAAAAAAATATTTTTATTTCTAAAATTTTTTATGACACCTAGAACCCTTGGACCCTCCCCTTTTAAAAAGAGTCCGGGTACAGCCAAAATACGAGGGTTCAGGGTACGTGTTCGAGTTATATCCTATCCCTGAAGGGGGCTACCCCTATGCACAAAATAAAATATGAATTCCAATGACATATAATAATACCTAGACTGACGATTCATTCATTAAAATGCATTTTTAAGCGTCGTTAAAAGCAAATCAGCTGGACCCGCCATTTTGGTAACCTTTATAATAATTATTTTCATGTTAAAAACTAATATTAAATTGATAACTTACTTTCTTATTATCTCGATGATCAGGCAATTCTTTAATAAAGTTTGCATCAGATATAATATAAAATTATGCTCTCGTTTAAAATTTTAATATTTATTACAGTAACCAAGATGGCGTCTCTAGCTGATTTGTATTGATGTACACTTTTATTGAATGAATCGTCAGTCTAGGTATTATAATATGTCATTGATGAATTCTAACTTATTATTTTAAATGAATATGGCATTGATTGGCCAAGTTTCGAAAAATTATTTCGAATTCCACATAGTAAAAGCTAATAGTAATACTAATAGTACAACAAATGTCTTTTATGTCTGCCAACAAAATTTGGATACTTCATGCTATATATAAATCAATCTGTATATCGATAATAATAATTTTTTTAAATAGTATATAATCTTATACTCAATGGTGCAGTGGAAGTGGTATCCAGCGCCCTGAAATTAGTGGAACCTTCGAAATTCCGAAATATATGGTATGCATATTTCCCAACCCCATAATATCGTAAAGATTAATTTTTACAAATAGGTAATTTGATAAAATAAATTCCGTTAGATGGCGTTAATGTTTATTTATTTTTTTTTAAAAAAAACAAAACTATTGATTAAAAATAATGGTTTTTTATGATATATCGATGTTGTAAACTATGTGTAACCGACTATGGTTGTATCACATTTTTAGCTATACAAATACTGAGTCTTGATATTTAGTCAAATGATAAAAATATTTAGCACTTCTTTTGACGAAATTTCGAAACTAAGAAGTTTTTCTTAAAAATCGATAAAATCGAGGTTTTTAGCAACACCAATTGCAGTAGTCAATAATCGTAAATTAAAAATGACTGAGTTGACGGCGTCAAATTGTCTAATATTAATATGATTATTATCACACATATATTATTGTAATACGTTTTCGGGCAAAAATTAGAACTTTCAAAGTTAAACAAAGCGCTCAATAAATTGTGATACTCTTTCCAACTTTTAAATTATTTTATTTTTTACTCATTTTTAAAAGAATTTTAAAAATCTGATTTTATCGGAAATATATTACATCATTAAGTGCAGAATATTCATCCTAACATAGCGTCTAAGCTATATACGTGTTAGAATCCTGAAAAAGTGGGCGGAAATAACATCATCAACATACTAAATATTAAGATTTAAGAGTTTGAAACTTTTCTTCAAAATACTTTAAAGATTTTTGATTAATTTGAGAATGCCTATTTAATCAGACAGAAATTTTGATCAAATTTTACAAAAATTACAAAAAAATCTGTATAAAAATTTTAAACATTAAAAAAAATTTTTTTTCATGAAATCTGTCAAAGAAGAATTAGCAGAAGCCTATCTTTGCTCGATCTTAAATGTATACAGCCATTTAGATAAAATAACAAAATGCTTGAATCCAATGCAATTGGAATAATTAAGGTTCAATATCAGCATGGAATTCTGAGTTCAATTGTAAAATGTTCATTAAGCATGTGTTCTGACATAGACAAAGTCGAAGCATTTAAGGAAATAGCTCAGAATTATTAAAAACAATTATACATTATAATTTATGTATTTAAGATATTATTCTAATCATAATAAATATTGATGATATAATTGGAATTTGTTACGCATTTCAAATTAGTAAAAACGGATATTTTATCAGGCATATCTTATCAAAAAAAATGGGTGAACTTTTTAAACCTAATCAAGCAACAAACTTAGTAAAAATTTAAAATCTATGTATTTTTAATTCCCCCATTCAATTACGGCCTCAGAGAGAATTTTTTAGTTTAATGAATAAGTTTTGGCGAAAAAAACGCTTTTCGCTCTCATTCGATTATTAGAAGCCGAATTTATGGTAAAGCAAACTTTTGACGTTGAATTATGAAAATTTGGCGAAAATTTATTCGGAAACTTTAAAGTAAAAGATTCTTCTGATAAGTGTATAAAGAGGTTTTATTTAGTTTATTTTATATTTTGAATAAAGATTGATATTATTCGTAATTTGACGAAAGAATTCGATGATACTAAAGTGTTTGCGTGTGTCCCGCTTAATTCCGATCATTCATCATTTTAGTCATTGAAAATCTCTGTAAATTCACTTTTTATAAATTTAAAATGGTTTCAAAAGGTTAACGGAATAATTGTCCTCAATTCATAAGGTTAATATTCTAAACATTTTGTTGGAATATACTCCCGGTAAAATTTGAATAATTTAAAAATACGAGTTTAAAATATGAAATTATGACTCATTCCCGGTAGAAAAAAAACACATTGGCTCTAAACATGTACATATTTTTTAAAAGATTCAAATTTTAGAATTTTTTTTAAAGGATTTATTTGTGGGTGTTTATGTCCAGGGAAGAGATGAAGCTTAAGAATAATGTTTATGGCAAGCCTTTGTTAAAGGCAGTAACCTTCGGGTATCGGTGATGCGCTGACCAATCTCAATGATAAGTTTAAAAGCTTCCTTATCAAACTTCACCCGATGAAAGAGAGGAAAAGATATGAACTATATCAATTAATGTATTTATTGTTTTTCAAGATCTCAGTTTAGGAGAGAAGGGAAAGTAAGGTCGATAAAAAACGAATTGCTTCAAACTAATAATTAACTTCCTGTGGGATTAAGGATATATGGTGTGTGTGGGGGGAACATCGGTTCTGAGGAGCCCATTAAGCTTTAGCTTAAAAAAAATTATTGTAGAAGTCTAAGCCCGTTTTATAGTTTCAATTGTTTGAGAATCCTTAGGGAAACGGCTTCTTCAGGATAGGGAATGAAAACTATGTTTGCCTTGTGTGCATTCGGTATTGTATGCATAAGTGATGTGTGGCAGTTATAGCTAATTCATTAAATTTTCATTAAATAAAAGAAGGTTTAAATCTGGAAGGTAATTTTTTGGCGAAAAATTTTCCGCTGTTTAAATGAAGAATATACTCAACTTCTTAAGGCTCGATAAGGTTATCAACTGAGATTATATAACAAGAGGCGTATCCTAATCCACTTAGCAAACGGAAGAAGGATGAGGCTTAGATTAGATTTTTAAAATTTGACACAAATACTATTTTTTAAATTTTTTTAACTAATCCTATAAAGTAATGACATGTATCGGCAGAAAAGTAGCGTTTAGAGTTACTTATTTTTATTATCTTTTTCGCTCGATATTTTAAAAAATATTTATTATGATATTCCATAAATTTTATTTTTAAAACAAATTATTATTTATTACTCAATAAAAATATATTATCTTGTTATTATTTTCATAATTCTGTCAAAAAAGAGACAAAAAGAAAACTTTTTTTTAAAAAAATATAAATTTTAATGCCGGAAGAAAAATAATTCCTATATAATTCGAGGAGTAATAAATGATTTTCAGTTTTCAAAATTTTTATTTTTAAAAAATTTTCAGATGATTTTTCATATTTTATTCAGTGCAACTTTCAACCTTTTCATCCTACATAACTTCGTTACCAGCCCAAATCTAATCGATTTAAAATCTAATGATCGTGATGATATCGATAAAAATATTCTGGAAAACGTCAACGAATCTCGCATCGAATCATATCTACGGTAAATAGAACAAAAAGAAAATTTTTTTTTCTTTCTTTCTTTCTTTCTTTCTTTCTTTCTTTCTTTCTTTCTTTCTTTCTCTTCTTTCTTTCTTTCTATAATTTATGTCTATGTCCGCCTTAAAAATTTTTTTGTTGTTATTTTATACTCCTAATGCCTTAAAGATAAAACTGCAGGAATTTGATTACGTTTTACAAATTTTTTTTAGATATAAATATAAAGTAATTAGATATAAAAAATATGAGAATTAGATACAAAAATAAGAAATATTTTCTTTTGCTCTTATTTTTTTTAAAAATTAACCTACATATTAAATCGATAAGTTTGGACATGGCCCTAATAGAGTTTTCAAAATAAATTTCAAAGAACTTTCTAGAATTTTCAAATTGAAGAGACTTTTGATCAAATATTACCTAATAGTGCGCACAAATTGAGCGTTTACGTTTTGCCGTTATTTTTAAATAAAAAAAACGTAACACGTCCCTTGTTTAATTTAAGGTTGTGTTTTTTATTAACATCCGTCGATTCAAAATTTTGGATGTTCTAAAAAAAAAGAGGAGTAGTCTTTGAAAATTATATTATCGTCTGCGTTCTTTATTTCTTTAATTTCTTTAATTTTTTAAATATTCCTTTTTAGGATTATAAGTAAGTTATTTATTTATATTAAATTTTTATATAATATTTACAAAGCGAAGAATAAAAAAAGTAATGAAAGAGCTAACCTATTTGCCTTTTTTTAAAAATGATTGCTAACGCCAAACGGTAATTTTACTAGTTTAAAGGCATTGGCGCTTGCAATGCAGCGTTTTGAAACAGTCAATTTGTTCGCGCTTATAAAGATGTCAAAATCGTCTATATACCACATTAAATCCTCCTCAAATTCAAATAGCCACATTTGTAATTTTCATGCAAAAAAAAATCTTCCTTCAAAATCGGTTGCCATGTCCTTAAATAAGAACTTATTGGTAGTTTTAAAAGGCTTGGTTTAAGCCCATTTTTTTAAAACGGACTAACTCAATATTTTAGCCATAAATATTGTTTAAGCCTCGGGATTTCATCAATTCTTCAAACCTTTGTGCCACTTATGAGCAAAATCTCTAAGGCTTGCATAATATTTAAGTCTTTTAACAATAATATTTATTGGTTGATAAAATAACATTATCAGACCAAAAAATAAATGTTTTTTTTTAGTTAACATTCGGCAGGAAACAATAAATATAAATTTTAATTGGAATATTATAAAATCATTTTAATTTTAATACAATCCGCTCCTTCCATTTTAAGGTTTATCGAAAAATGTAAATGGATTAAATGGGCTTTATATACAAAACACAAGATTAACTAACGTCTTATTTAAGGTATTTAGTTTTATAAAAACGATAGAGAAACTACACATATGGGTCCATTTTTGAATCATTTACTACGAAAGGGCAATTTTCATTTTACCAGCGGAAATATATTCTTGCATTTGACATACAGTTACCCGTGACCTGTGTAAATAAGACGCTTTTTTTTAAATTAAACTTTTAAACTATAAAAAACCAAAACGTAAAAAGGGACAAAAGTTCACTTTCTTGGGAATTTTAAAATTATTAATTTAGAGGGAAAATAGAATTCGCCTAATTTTAAAATAAAGATTATTTCGAAAGAATAAACCCTCGTATAAAATTTATCAATTTCATCTAAAATTATTTTTAAAATAACGAAAAATAAGCAATATTTTAAGTCTTTGATCATTTATATGATCTTTAATCCCACTAGCCTAAAAACATACATTCGAAAGAATTGTTGAAAATGAATATCAAGATATAATGTATCACCATGTGACGATATGATGATAATTATTAATAAAAAAAATTTATTAATTTTTTAATTACAAAAATGATATAGATTTGTGTCAAAAGATAAAAAATAATAAAAATAAAATATTTATTTTGACATAAAAAAAATATTAAAGAGTTATTTATGAATCATAATAATTTCATTAATTATACATAATAACCCATTCTCCTTCCTAATGATAGTTTTGATTTAAAAGCTAATAAAAGGAATATTCTTAATAAAAACAAGAATAATCACCCATAGGGGCAGACTTCACGGGGGCAGAGTGGCTCTAGCCCCTATCCAAATATTCTACGAAATAAATAATATAAACAGCAAATTTTCTTTAAAAAAATTATACAGCCTCTCAGAAAATTTTTTAAGCTGCTACCGTCAGGTTTGTACAACCCAATTTTAACTAGTACCCCCTCCCCTTGCCTTATCTTGTAACTTATGATAAGAGGGTGGGCATCTATTGAGTCAATATATATTCACTACCCCCCCCCCCCAACTCACATCTCTATGGCCTTTTAACCTTGACTCTAACCATATGCAGAGATTGGCTTCAGAAAAATATTGGTCTCATGCGGGTTCTCGAACATATACTAATAGTAGCTCAATAGTTACTCACTTTTAACTGTTCGGTAGCGCAAAACCGGACCGGAAGTGAACCGATTTTTTTTGCCGGAAAAAATTAATGCTCTCCATTTCATGGTAATGATTTAAATAAATATTTTTTTTTTCAAATTTAATCTCAAGAGAATTCAGTAAAAAAGTTCACGTGGCTGGAACTGAGAGACAGAAAGATTCCGCCTACGCTATTCACGACGAATGGCTTAAACTCAAGCTCGATAGCGTCAAAACTCAAACGTACCATGTCATGTTAACCTATCCCGATGAGAAGTATTTAAATTGAAAATATATTATTAAATTTATTAGTAAAAAAAAAAAAGGGTACCTTCATAACTAGTGTTGTTAAATGAACTCGGTTTGACCGGTTTAAAAAAAAACGACTAATTTTAATATTTTAATCAGAAAAATATTGCCTCTAAGCTTAGAGATTTCATAGATGTCCAAATCAGCAAAATCTTTAAGCTTTGCGTGACATTTTTCCGGAAAAGATATTAAGCGAGAACAGTGATTCCAGAAAGTTCCTATCGAATGTAGTGTTGTTAAATGGAATGGCCAAAATGATATATTTCACCATAATTAATCACAGCTCTTAAAGTATAATCAGAGAGGGAGGAGTCTATGATACCCATATCAAAAAAAAATGATTTTTTGCCCCCTTAAACCGATTTTTTTAAAAAAAAACAACAACTAACTTAATATTTTAACCAAAAAATTGCTCCTAAGCCTCGAAATTTCGCTAATAGATGTCCAAACCTTTGAGCAATCTAAGAGCAAAATCTTTAAACTTTACGTAACACTTTTCTGGGTAAGATTTTAAGTTAGCCGTTTTTTTAAAAAAAAAAAAATCACTCAAATCGAACCGTTTAGCGAATTACTACCTCAAACTTATTTAATTTTTAAAATTTAAAATATGTTATTCACATTTTTTTTTTTTTAAATAAAAATTAAACGATAATAGATACCATTTTTATTTTTATCTTCCATGATCGATTTTTATTTCGCGCTTTTGGGAATATTTTTTTCCCCATTAATTGCTTCAGAATCAAAAAAAAAATATAGTTTAGCTCAGAATATTTTATGAATTTCACAGATTATTTTCTTCTCGAAATCTAAGATTCACTGAGCTTTTCGGTTTTATACCGTCGGTCTAGAATTGGAGTACTCAGCTCGACATTTTATAAAATTTTAGAGTTAGAAGTGGATAATAACTTATTTATTCCCAATATATATATTATAAAAATAAAAACTAGATTTAAAAAAGTTTAATTTTTGCCAAAGTTATTGTCAAAATTGATCAATAACTTTTTGCTATATTTTATTTTACACTTTAATGTTGATTTTCTCATTTTAAACATTTGCGCAAGTGGAGCACTCCAATTTTTAGGCCTACGATACCTGAGCCAATTTTTCTATGCAATTAAAATTTTTATCTGAACAGTAAGAAATAAATCTGAGCATTCTGTATTATTTTTTTTCTAAGCTTTAAAGTATATTAATTTCTGAGACCCTTTTAAGGATTTTTTTTGTTCTGAGAAGATCAGTTTTAATTTTCAGCTATCAAAATAGGAGCCAAGAGTTATTATAGAGAGTATTATATGTGCAAACTTTTAAAAAACGAATTTTTATGATTACATATACATTAAACATTCATTATGATTTATTATTTATTATTAGCCTTACTTGGATCTCGCCGATAAAACTATTATAGGGTTTTTTTTGATCATTTACAATATTTTTTGTTTAATGGAAATTTTAGAAGTTAGAAATAAAATAGCAAAATAAAAAATTTTAATTAAATATTCTCAAAAAAAAATAATATGACATCTCTTAATCATCATACTATCCCTCAAACTTGAGTCAGTTATAAACACTAAATTATCGGCTTAGTTTTAGTATAAATATATTGCAGATTGGAATCTACAATAAAAAGATGTATATTAAATGAATAAATTTCATTATTAGGATTAAAAGCTAAGCAAAATAGCCACCATTTTGTCAAATAGGATTTCACGATAGATGTAAATTTCACGTAATTTTTAGACTCACCATATGTTGTATATTTTGAGCTGTCATGACGTAACCAGGTTCAATTAGCTTGGGTTGAGGCGGGCCCTTAGGTATATCTCTAAATGAATGAATTGGAACAAGACCCTATTCCTAATTTATATTATTTTAAGTTTTATTGTATATATATATATATACTATTATATTCATTAGAAAATACAACAAGGTTTCGTTGATTGACACCATGGGAAATGTTAAATGGGAATCTTCGGGGATGGAAGATTACTTGTCACCGGACAATAATGATACAAAACTTGTGTCACCTTTCAACGCGTATTCGGCTGATGGAAATATCACGGTAATATCCGACAAAATGGCGGAATTTTATACTATTAGTTTAGACAAGAAATATTATTATTATAATTACAGAATTTCGTTAATAATTATCCAAAATTTATAACCTTTTTTATATAAAAACGTATATCAATCTTAAATGCACAGCTTTATTTTTGCTTTATTTAGAGCGATTTAGTTTACGTCAATTATGGTCGTTACGATGATTTTTTGAGTCTAAAAAATGGACTGAACCTTTCGTTGTCCGGTAAAATAGGCATAGCAAGATACGGCTCTATCTTTAGGGGTACTAAGGTATATCAATAAATTCTTATCAAATAAAAAATAATAAAAAATTTTATAAATTCTTTCTTTCTTTCTTTCTTTCTTTCTTTCTTTCTTTCTTTCTTTCTTTCTTTCTTTCTTTCTCTTTCTTTCTCTTTCTCTGAAGGGACATTGTCATAATAATTTACACAATCGAACCATAAATTTAAATGAGTATAATAAAGTCAGTATTGGTGACATTAATTTTCTTGTTAAGAATAACCTTCAAATTTACACAATCGAATGATAAATTTAATTGTGATCAGCTTTGGTATTATATATTTTTTTAAAAAGATAACCTTCAAATATAAAATTTTCTCTTCCTCTTTATTTTTTCTTTTTTTTCTTCTAAGTTCATATTTAAAAAACAAATTTTCCTTTAAAGGTCAAAAATTCGGAAATATTTAAACTTGCCGGTCTGATCCTATATTCCGATCCCACCAATTGCGCTGCCGAAGGTACAGATACTAAGGAAGTATACCCTAACAGCTGGTGGATGCCTGAATCGGGTGTTCAGAGGGGATCCTTATCACTTATAAATGGTGACCCTATGACAATGGGATACCCTTCAATTCGTAATTATATGATTTGTCGTCTTTCAGTTTTCTTGCTACTATATTTTTTTGTCACTTTTTAAGTATATTATAAATGAGTGACATTATTCCTAAATATTGACCTTGTCACTCACTTAAAAAAGTTATTAGTGATAAATGGAGAAATATTAATTCAGATTTCATTTAATGGGTTAATATAATTAATAATAAAGAAAAGCTTGGAAATAAAAGAAATTTTGAATAAGTTTATTTTACAATTTATCATAAAGCATCCATGTATAGAGAAATGCCTTCAAAGGGCGATCTGCCGTCCATACCAGTTTACCCCATCTCGTACTCTGATGCTTGGCACCTATTGAGCAGCATGGGTGGTTCAACCGTTCCTAAAGCATGGCAGGGCAGCATAAACACTACATACAGAACTGGACCTGGATTTATTGATTACAAATCTGATTGGTAAAAAAAAAAGATTGATTATTTTTATATTTTTAAATCATATAAAAAATTGGGTTTAAATGACACATAGTGTTATAATACATCGTTGTGGTGGGATATATTGAAATTGGAGAATAAGATAGGGGAACATTGATAACATAACTATTGGAAGGGAAATATAATTAAATGAAGCACCACACCTCATCATTATTAAAAAAAAATTATAATTGTATTATTGTCGCCTAATTTGTTATATAATTGTACTAAAAATTCATGGATTTCTCTTAAAAAAATTAATACTTATTTATTCAATAACATAATATAAATTAAAAAACTATAATTAAAGTAACATTTAAAGGCACAGATAAATGTGTTCCCAAAAAGGGTCAAAAATTATAAACGCCGGGGTTTTGCCGATTTTCGGCGCTAAATTAAAATTTTTTTTTTTTAATATTTTAAGTATTTTTATTCTAATAATTAATCAACATCACTAAGACTGAATTGAGGGCAACATTTCCTAATTTATAAGGGCGGATACTTGAATTGAAAAAAATGGAAGATATAAATAATTTAATTTTTAACAAAATTTCTGTTCTCTAATATACCTTACATTCCAATATACCTTAAGTAAATATATAAATCTAAAGGAATCTAAAGAGAATTCTGAGTTTTAAACCCCCTACAACATATTTTGGAATTATACATCCCCGATTCAATATAAAATAAAAGAAATAGATTCGGTAGATGGAACCTTTTAAAATAAAAACGATATGAGAATTACTAAAAAAAATTTAAAAAAATTAGGAAAGTTAAGCTCGAGGTCAATTTCAAAAGGGAGAAAAGACCAATCTACAACGTGATAGGGCGCCTAAATGGAGATATAGAACCGGATAGATACATAATTTTAGGTAATCACAGGGACGCGTGGACATATGGAGGCAGCGATCCTATAAGCGGCACGGCGTGCTTGTTAGAAGTTACGAGGGTTTTTGCCCTGTTACGTCAAGGCGGTATTTAAATTTATCACCATTAAGATTAGGATTATGAGGGGAGGGAAGGGGGGGGGGGAATAGAGGGTTAGCATAGATCTGGAGAATCTACATTATATTCTTTATATTTGATTTTTTTTCTTTAAAAGAGTATATAGATTATTTCATGTAATAGATTATGATATATAACATTGAAAAATAACATAAGGTTGGAAGCCTAGAAGAACCATAATATTCGCTAGTTGGGATGCGGAGGAGTATGGATTGATAGGCTCCACGGAATACGTAGAGGAGAATCTGAAAGTTTTAAAACAAAGAGCGGTAGCTTATTTAAATGTCGATATATGTGTTACAGGTTCTAACGAAAAAAATTCATTTATTCAAAGCTTCGTAAGCTCTCATTCAGGAGCGAGTTTGAATTATATACTTCCTTAGTCTTTTACTGTGCTAGGGGTTGGAGTCGAAATCGGATAGCAAATTTTTTTTAAGCCCGGCTTTGGTCGGGTTCGGGTCGGGAAAATTTTTATAGGGCTCTGCGTATAAGTTTACACCAGCGGTAGCTCAGTATTCGATTTAGGTTAAAGTCAGAAATTTCATGTTTAGATTGGAGAAGTAATAATATTAAAAAAAATTAAATAAAAAATACCTTTTTTTTATAGGTAACTACTCCCTAAAAATAAACTCGTCCCCATTATTATCTAAAATTGCGTACGAAGTTGCGAAAATGGTATAAATTTTTAATTCGATTATTTAATTTTATGTGTGAATAATTACTAAATAATTTATTTATTGAAAAGAAAGTAAAGAAGAAGGAAAGAAGGAAAGAACGAAAGAAGGAAAGGAGGAAAGTAGGAAAGAAGGAAAGAAAGAAAGAAAGAAGGAAAGGATAGAAGGAAGGAAGGAAGGAAGGAAGGAAGGAAGGAAGGAAGGAAGGAAGGAAGGAAGGAAGGAAGGAAGGAAGGAAGGAAGGAAGGAAGGAAGGAAGGAAGGAAAGTAAAAATAAATATTATAATCGAATTATCACAGATACCAAACCCAAATAAGACGGAAATTGATCTAGGCCGAAAAATGATTTACGACACTTGGCTTAGGGCAAGTTCTATACCGAAATCTCGGAAGGAAAACCCTTATATAGGTGAGCTAGGTGCTGGAAGTGATTTTGTGCCATTCATGTATTACGCCGGTGTTCCTTGTATCGACGTGCGTTATATATTTAATAAGGTATAATTATTATTGTTTGATAAAAAATGAATTATTATATGCTAATATTAAGAAGAAAAAAAACTTAAATAAGGAACTTCAGACATCATTATCCCAAAAAAATATATAATTTTAGAAATTCGAAATGATACGTCCTAAATGATTGATTATTAAATAATATTTTCCACGAATTATTATTTAAATAAATACTTTCTTTTTACAAACAATAAAACTAAAAATAAATATTTACAAATTATAAAAAAAAATAAAATAAACATGAAATGACAAATGGAACATTATGAACATCTAATGTTGCGGTTGTTGTTTTGTGAGTACTTCCTTTATCTCCCTAATTTGGCGTGGATGAGCACCTGAGATATATATAACAGCTGATAGTTACCCACCCCACCTCCTTCCCTGCCGAATCACGTACACTGAATGCCTCTTAATTAAATTATTTCTCAAAACCAATTAAATTTTTAACATTTTATTAATAAATCCGCATCGATCCTTTTAAAAAGAATGTGAATTTTCCAAACTCAATTAGATTTTTCTTTAAATTTTGAACAAAAAAAGGGTACTTGTCCTGAAAAATTTTTATCTTTCAAAAATTAGCTTTGTTTCCGGTTTAAAAAAAAAATTTTTTAAGTAAACTCTAAATTCGGATTTTAAAATTTGGCGCGGTTCCGCGGGTTTCGGTTTTAAATTCTATTTCCGGAACCGGAGCCTAAGAATTTCAAAATGGATTCTACTCGCTACTTTCTGCAAATTTTAAATCCTGGTTCCCCTGGTCTCCATAATATCACTAAAATAGTAAAATTTCTTTCCTATTTTATCGCTCATTATATAATATTGTATCCTTTTATCTCCTAAGGTCTCATTTCAAATGTATTTAAAATATGGTGCAAAGTTTTTTTTAAAAAAATTACATTGAATTCTAGTTTTTCTAATCCGATAAAATTCCAGGATTTTTTATTACTAATCTTATATTGCTGATAAGTTTCAGCAGATAGAGGAATCATTAATTACCTTCCAAAAATTAAGAATACGCTACTAGAGACCCGGAACGCTAGAATTTTTATATTCCTGTTTCATTCAGACCCAAATAAGATGTTCCATTCCCGAGTTTGGACACATTTCATAAGGAAAAAAAACAATTATTTATGTTCATTAATCCTTTATAATATAAATCAGTTTATTACATCTATCTAAGCATTAAAAGAGAGGAGAGACTTTCTTTCTTTCTGATATTCTCTCAAAGATAATCATTTATATCATCAGTGTGATATTAATATACTAAATTTCAATTTTCAAACACTTTAAAATAAGAAGTAAAATTTTTATATGAAGCGAACTGGGAAAGGGAATTTAAAAAAAAACGGATATTTTTGAAGACCCATTATAAATATTATGCTTATAAATATCCAAATAAATTAAATTTTCATTTTGCTAGTGTTGTTAAACGGCTCGTTTTGAGCCAAATTTATTTAAAAAACAGCTAACTCAATATTTTATCCCAGAAAAATATTACGCAAAGCCTTAAGATTTTGCTCATAGATGGCACAAAGGTTTGAACATTTTTCCAAGAAATCTCGTAACTTAGGGCACTATTTTTCTGGTTAAAACCAAAATCGAGCCCAATACTACATATAAAATCGGGACTTTCTGGAATCACTGTTCTCGTTCCATAATTTTTTCCAGGTTCTGTTCTTCGGAACATCTCCAAAACGATCTGTTTCATGTCCCTGCAACCACTAAAATCCTCATGGAAAATATAATCTACCAATATTTACTTAATATCCCGCACTAATCATTTTGTAAATGTATCGTTATATATTTGAGCTTGATTTTTTTTTTTCGTTTTATATATTCCCCCGTATTTTTTGTCTTTTTTTAAAAATATATTCAAATCCGATTTGAAATGTGTAGAGAAAGTGGTCTGTCAACAGATCCGGTATACAAAGTGGTTAGTCAATCGATCCGGTAGACAAAGTGGTCTGTCAACCGATCCGGTAGACAAAGTGGTTAGTCAACCGATCCGGTAGACAAAGTGGTTTGTCAACCGATCCGGTTGACAGAATGATACCCCGTCTAAATTTTTAAACGATTAACTTTATAACAGTAGATATATATATATTTAAAAAAAGGTGCCAATATAATATTTTGTTTTGTAAAATATTAGGAAGAGATGAATATTTCGAATTACCCTTTATACCACACTAGGTATGACACCTTTTACAATGTTCAAAGGTACATAGATCCGGGGTTCACGTATCACAAAGCGATGAGTCAATATTTGGCTATATTGATCCGCTACCTATCCGATTCTCTCATCTTACCACTATCGCCAACTTTTTACGGAAAATCGCTAAAAAGATTTTATGAAGATGTAATAAAAAACTACGAGCCAACCCTAAAGTCGAACAGGATATGTACGGGTAAATTTCAATAATCTACGTTTATTTATAAAATTAACCTGAGAATTATAATGTTCTATCATATTTTTGCGAGAAATCAATTCCTCAGTGCCATATCAACAATATAATTTAGAATAATCCTTTAATTTTGCATTATTATAGTTATCTGCGATTTAAAATGCAAGAAATTTAAATTTTGTTTTAACAAAGGGTTCTCCTGATAAATTTTTAAAATATTGAACTATTATACAGCGTGTTGTTAAACGGCTCGTTTTGAGCCGATTTTTAAAAACGGCTAGCTTAATATTTTAGCCAGAAAAATATTGCCTAATCAAGATTTTGATAATATATGTTTCGACCTTTGTTCCTTCTATGAGCAAAATCTTCGAGCTTGGGTAATATTTTTCTGGATGAGGTATTGAGTTAGCCGTTTTTTAAAAATCGACTCAAAACGAGCCGTTTAACAACACTATCCCAGCCGACGATTTCTAAAATGTTGTCTTTGAAAAGCTATTTACCATAACCTCCACCCCTCGTTTATTTAAATATTCGCTCGCGATTTCAAGACAGGGCTTTTAATATTGTAGCAAGCATTCATAATTTAGATTTTTATGCTGTAAATCTGCCTTTCAAATTTCATCTCTCCCAAAGAATAATTTCGTTTGCAGAATTTTAATTTTATTTGTTTATATACATCAGAAACCTGTAGCCCGAAACCCGGGTACATGGCCTGGGCCGTATATTAATCTTTCGCGGATTGGGTCTGAAAAAATAAAACCTCGGCCGGTCCGGGCCGAAAAAAAATCTGGGCAGGGCAAATGGTGCCTGATATACCAAGTTAAAAAACTAATTTTTTTTTTTGTAATAAATTAATAAATGGAGGAATCCATTTTTAAAAATAAAAAATAATGTCAATTTTAAAATCTTGTATTTTTTTTCCCCTCTCTAAGGGCCTATCTTTTAAAATTGCAGATGAAGGATAAAAATTATTGTATAAACTCCCAGATTTTTATGTTTAATTCAGGTAACATTACAAAATAATTTATCCTACGTTCCACACTCAAATGATAATAATAATAAAAGGTTTACAAATTTTACCCCTAGTTTTCTAGTATAGTCTTGTTAAAAAGCCGGATTTAGTTCGATTAAATCGACCCCGATTAAGATAATATTATGCGAGTCTAGAGATTTTGCTCACAGGCGGCAGAAAGGTTAGGACGTCTATTTGCCAAATCTCGAGACCTATATAATATTATTTTGGCTAAAATCTGGATCGGGCCGTTTTTAAAAATCAACCCATATCGGGCTTTTTAACAACATTTCTCCAGTGATTTAGAACCTATAGGAGTAGCTAAAGACTTACAGCAGATTTTCAGCTACCGACAAGGTAGTCCAGTCAGTGGAGGGATAATGTTAAAATGTAATAAACCTTTAATTGTAATTTTGAGTTTTTTTTTTGTTGAACGTATGACTTGTTAATATTAAAGAAAAATAAAAGTATTTTATATTTTAGACAATTTTAGGGCAGCCATAAGTTATTTCCACGACAAAATGACCGTTTTCCAAAAGAGATCGTTATCAAACAATCAAAACTATTCCGCCATACAAACTCGTTCGCTGAACGATAAATTAATGCTAATCGAACGAAGTCTCCTAGATACCAATGGGTTGCCTAACAAACCTATTTATAAACACTTGATATTAGCGCCATCTAAAACGGATCAATATAGCGGATCCGGGTTTCCGGCTTTAAACGACTTACTTTACGCCCTCAATCAATCTATTAATTCGAAAGTCGAGCCGGAAATTTTAAGGTTTTGGGTTGGCGATGCGATTTCTAAAATGGACCCGAAAGAGTGCAACAACGGGAGTGATCATCAAAATGATTTACTGAGCTATACATCCTCTGATGACTCGTACAACTTTATCGTCAATTCATCCGGAGATCCAAAGTCATCAAGTTCAGAAGCTTGCGAATATTCGAGCACATCTAAGAGCACGAGTGATTGTAAATTATCGAGTTTCATAGTCGAGGCCATCAAAAAGCATATAGCTATTTTAGCATTTACACTAAGATCTTCCGCTGACATGTTAGATGATTAAGCAATATTTTTTTTATATAATTACAAATTTTAATGAATGAATGTAAACTAAAGCAATTATTAATATAAAATAAATAAAAAATTCTCGATGGTAAGATAATGACAATTTCTAGTCACAAGTAAATTTATTATGGTTGTTCTGTTTATATTTATAAATCATTTATCGCAAAAAAAAAATGGCATAATCATTCAATGCTAGTATTCAGCACTTTAAATTCGATATAACATAAAAGTATTCATTTATCATGTATTATTATACAATTATAAGGTCTATGTTTTAAGCCCAATGTATATAATTTTTTTTTCCTTCCACACAATATATTATGCTTGAAAAATTAAATTTTAAATAATACCGTTTTTACCAATAAAAAATCAACCAATCTCTTCAAAGACTAAAAGATTACGATTATAAAGATTCTATACAAAAAAAAATATAAATAGATTTCTATCAATCTAAGTATTTTCATAATAGAGAATAAATCTATATTATATTTAAATATAACAAAAATAAACCAGTGTTACTAAAAATATTCTGGATATGTATATAGGTGAAAATGTGATTTAAACAATATACAAGATTATTATAAACATTTAATTTTTATTTAAAAAAAAATGATAATTTGATATTATGCTTTTTAAATACGTGTTGTAATAAATGTGCCTTATTATTTATAATTAAAACGAAAAGTTTATAATAATTACACAGTATTGAATTATGAGGATCATATATATTATTTATCACCAATATATTTTTTTTAGAGTAAAAAAATGTGTAAAATGGACCAAAAGTTTCTAAAATAATTCTACAAATATTTACCAATAGGTATATATATATATATAAATCTGATATAAAAATATATTTAATTATTAACAATATATTACATATAGGATAGGAAGGAATAAACTCAATGGCACAACTTTTCTAATTTTCTTCTTTTTTTTAAATAGTAAAATATAATAATTTTTTTTTACAAATATGTATTATAAGAATAATCTTATAATCGAAACAAGTCATTTTAATCTTCCAAAACGGAAGTTGCCGATCTTATCGTAAAAGCGAGCACGGCTATATGTTTGTGGATAACTTTGAGCAACAGATGTTTAGTTATTTTCCTGCTGTTGCCCCCGTCAACCATATTGACGTGAAAAGGTGCCGGGTTTTCGAAGTCCATGGCAAGCTTTTCAAGTCCGAAAGTCCCCATTATCAGAGCTTTAGCGTGATCTGAGTTGTAATAAGAAGGTGCGGTTAACGATAATTCGTTGAGCGAGGAATAGTGATTGGCTGTTGATATTAGAAGCTCGTGAATTCGGCGAAATATCGAATCGCGGCTTGGGTCGAAATTGCGTTCATTTCTATCCTTGTCAAAGGGTAAATTTGTCAGCAGATAAAGCAAATCAGACAGGGCCGGGAATCCAGAACCGTTGTAGAAATTTAGGGAAGAGGGAGCAAATATTAGATGCTTGTACCAGGGTTGGAGTGGAGAACCCCCTGGGTCCAAAAAGGCTCGCTCTATTTGCATGAGCTTGTCGTTGAAGGCCCTGACTTGGACAGGATCGGCGCGGGGATTTTCGGAAGGGTTCTTGTTAGCGTTGTGGGTATCACCGTGCGAGGAATGCGAAGGTGAATAGTTAATATCGTTGATTTGATTATCGTCGTCAGGGTGAAAGGAAAAATTAGGGTAACGAGTGGCGAAAGCTAAACAACCATCTTGAAAATCTTTGACTGCTTCTGTAAGAGGATCTGTCAATATTTTATTATTTATAATAACATTTATGGTAGGAAGGAAGCATATTAAGACTTGGATTTAAATTATATATTTTTTATATAAAAATAATATAATAAATTGAGTCTATAGATCATAATATTATATCAAGCAATGCAGATAAGAAGCACTAACTCAGATTAATATCGTTCCTGATTATAGTGGTATCGTAGGCTTGTACTATACCGTGCAAAAACCGTTTCAAAGCTTTCCCGTAATGAAAAGGCGTGAAGGGCAAGACGTAGGAATCGGCCAGAACCCGAGCCAATTCGCCCCAGTATTGGGAAACAGCTTTGTGATAAACGAAATCGGGGTCAATGTAGTTGATAGCATCGAAGAACGTATCATGCCTTGTGTGGTACAAAGGGTACGTGCTTATATCCATCCTTTTCTGCCAGAAAACAAGATACATTTAGGGGATTGGGGTAGATTGGGAAGGGAGGGGTACTTTGATGCGTGGATATTGTAAAAGGGTGATTCAATGTCAAATGAGCAAAAAAAAAGAATTTTCGTCAGGCCCCCAAATTTTTAAAAAATATTTAATTGAATATTAATATGAAATTTTTTAAGAAAAAAAGGGTTATTTTTTAATCAGCTGTTTTGTTTCCTTTATCACAATTTGAATTTTTTTTTTAACCAGCTACTATTTCTGTCCTTAGTTTATTAATTTAAAATATTATTATTTATACTTTATAGAATAGCGTAAGCATGGATGATGTCATTTTCATAATTAGATGAATTAAAACATTACCATGGCCACATATATTCAATAAACTAATTCTATCCTTACAAAAATGTAAAATGTGTCCAAAAAGTATAATATCAGTTACAAAATCTTCAAGTTCTAATTTAAAGAGAAGAGATACTTGATTGTAATTTTTATTCTTTTATATAATATAACTAGTGCTGTAAACATTTTTAAAAAAATCGAACGCGTTCACGTTCAAATTCAAAAAAAGGAACGCGTTCAAGTTCATGAACATGTTCATACGTTCAAAATTTTATGATAAATTTTTTTTTAAATTTAATTTAATATAAATAAATGCCTTATATTTTTCAACACAATATATTAGCCATGATAAAAAATAATGGTTTTATTTTGATAATATAATTATAAATACAATATAATAGAGCGATAAAAAAATAAATTTATAAAAAAATTTTCTTATTAATTTTTAATAATAATTGCTTTTCAAAATTTTCATCTGATAGGCATGAACGCTTGTCAGTTAATACAGCGTTAGCTATACTAAAAATTCGCTCAACAGGGGCGGATGAAGGGATTGCGGTGTTATACTTGATAAACAATTCTTTTAAAAGGGGGAATTTATTAAAAACATTTAATGTTTTATCCATTGTTTCAAAAATTGAGCTATGTTATCATCCTCCAATCTGCCCTCTTCTTCCTCGTCAAATAAAAAGGATATCTCGGAATTGATTTTAAAACAGTGAAATATTTTTGATATTTGGGCTATGGTAATTCTAATTCATCTAATATTGAATTTTGATTTTCAGAATCTGATGATGAAATATTTATATCCATGCAAATGCTAATCTATTAAATTAAAATATAAAATTCAAATTAATAAACTTTAATCTTATCTTCTCTAGCAGTATCACTATGGTACGTTAATTGCAATATGAAAAAGGAAAAACAGCTGATTAAAAAATATAAGACTTTTTTGTTAAAAAATTGGATTAAATATTAATTTTTCAAATAAATAAAAATATAAGACTTTTTTGTTAAAAAATGCAGATTAATATTAATTTTTCAAATAAATAAAAATAAAAAGTGTTTTTAAAATTGAACGAACGTAAAATTGAACGCGTTCATCAAAGAAAAGGAACGCGTTCACGTTCAAAGTTCGTCAAAAAAAAGGAACGCCGTTCATCACCTTACAACACTAAATATAACTATAGGTATCCCTGTTGATAATTTATTTTAGATTGTTGTAATAGAAGAAATAGTTAATATCTTTTAAAATTAATTTATCTTTAATGTGATTATTATAAATTTCGCTATTATTTTTTAAGTTTTTACCAAGGGTTTTATATTATATTAGTTAAACACAATTTAAATAAATAATTAAATTTTAATGATACATAAAAGTTTATATATAATTATAATTAAATAAGTTTTATTTTAAAGTATGTAGGATTATTTTTGTGTTCACACAAAACTATTAATTATAAAGATGGCTAATATATTGTGTTAAAAGATATATGATATTTATTTATACTAAATTAAATATTAAATGAAATTTTTAAAAAAAAATCTATTCATAAATATTTGAACGAAGGTGAACGTGTTCGATTTTTTTAGATAATGTTTACAGCACTACCAATTATTGATTTAGTTATAAATATAAAAATTTAATGTTCAAATTGATTTTAGCTTTTTTAAATTAATAACTAATTTAACAGCGACAAAATGATCATAAAAGGTCGATTTGTACTTTAAATCGCCATTATCTCAAATAAGATAATTGCTTAACTAATTTAAAATTTCGTTTTTACGGGCCTTACAATTTTTTTATGGAAATTGTCGGCCAGAAAATCTCAATTTTATTGCTCATTCTGACGTAAAAGGTAAGACGTAGTTTTACGTATTGTATTAAAAATTTTTTTGCTTAGATTGAAAGAAACATGTATTTCTTTTTACCCGATCGAACATGTATCTCATATCGATGGAAGGTACTCCGGCAATGTTAACAAACGCTACAAAGTCACTCCCTGAACCCAAAACCCCTATCCTAGGTTGATTATCCGTGGAATAATGAGAATTGGCGGTGTCGGAGGTAGTTGCTGTGTATAACCACGTGTCGTAAACCGTTTTCCTCCCTAATTTTACTTCTAAAGGGTTGGGATTAGGAATCTATATTCATAAGCAAAAAAATAAAACGTTAGTTGAAAGCAGCGCTTTGAACCGGTATGTATAAATGTTGAAAGAAAGAAAGAAAGAAAGAAAGAAAGAAAGAAAAGAAAGAAAGAAGGTGATAAATACAATGGTTCGGTTCACTTATCCTTCTTTAATTAAAAAATAATAATAATGAAGTACCTTTATTTTTTTTATATAAAAGAAAAATTCGATAAAAAAGTAAATCGATATAACGGTTAGATACGAATTCGGTATAAAAAACTCGTGGTTACGGTTCAGGAAATTCACAGTTAGACGCGAGTTAACTATTCGGTTCAATAAAGATGGTCCAAAGACATGTACCGTATAAAATTATGTTTAACGTCATGTTTATTTGTTGAATTGAAAAAGTATAAATCGAATATTGACATTATTACCATTTTCGCAACATCATAGGCCACCTGGGTTAGTAGCGGCGACGCGTCAATTCTAAGTGAATAATTACCTATCAATTAAATACAGAAGAAAAAAAATATCATATATATATAAATTATTTATAAAAAAAACATAACTAACGCAAGGACTTCTACACCCTTACCACCCTACATAAATTCTATTAGTTAACTATGCCACTAAGCTGAATCTTTGTCACTCATATAAAAGTTTCCCTATTCCACATTAGTGCATAAATTTTGATTCACATACGAATCAACTATATATAATAATTTCCATAGTATATTTAATCAAAATATTTATATATGTATGGTATCGTTTTAAAATAGGAGAATGAAGGATAAAAAAAGACAAAGATTAGCGTTTGCGTGGCCTTATTGTCACAGTGACGATTTTTACCCTAAAAAAATTTACCCACTACACCCCCCCCCATCCAAATTTATTTATATCTAGAATACCCCACTCTAATTTATATGACGATCTTAAGCCATACTCACCCCACCTCACATCCGATTATAAGCTACTGGAATGAAAGAGTATATCTAGGTTGAAGAAGCACGCTAAATTAGCCTAATAGTTGGTTAGTTTCTCAAAAATATTATAAACCAAATTACCTAGAACCGAAATGTCGACGTTCAAGTAAGCCACGGCCCGTTCCCTGAGAATCTTGACCCGATCTTCCACGTATTCTGTCGAGCCGATTATAGAATATTCTTCAGCGTCCCAACTCGCAAATATTATGGTCCTTCTCGGTTTCCAGCCTTCGCGGTAATCAAAAATGGTGTATAAAGATTAAACAACTTATTGAGTGAATTAATAAGCGGAGAAAATTTTTATTATAGTAATCTCCATCGTACAGACAGCTGGCGTTGAAATTTTGGCCAAAAAAAACCTTAGCTGTTTGAGGCTTGAGCCATCGTTTTTTTTGTCTGAAAAATCGGTTAAGCAATTTCCTGAAGTCGGATCGCTGAGTAGAGAGAAATCTAAATATTAATCCCTTTTCTAGATGCTTCTATTTAATCCGAATAAAAAATCGGCTAAACCTATTTTCGATGCAAAACTATCACTTTAGTTAGCATCGGGGTTTCTTTAAAAAAAAATAAACTTTGGAGAAAGCGAAAACGATTTAATTCGTGCTCGCTACCTAGCGGATCTTCGGTAAGTGCCTGTAGGGCAATTAGCAGAATTTATTTTTGGTTGTTCCATATAATAATATTTAACTTTAATAATCAATGATTTAAGAGATAAAATACTATTACTCTTTTTTTATAGCTTGTTGGATTAAATATTAGGGGGTTACTTTAAATAAAAAAAGTAAATGCGCTACTGTGCAAAAAATAGAAGAAGAAACGTGTTCTTCCTCAAGGAATAAAGAAACATCATAATCCAAGATTATAATTAATTGTACAAACTAAAAAAAAAAGATAATAATTTCTATATTATTCTATTTAAAGATACTTTTAAAAAATCTGCCGATATTAAATATCGGATCGAATCGGTACCGATATTTAGCGTTTTCCGAAAATATCGGATCGGGCCGATACCTATAAAAAACCGATCGATCTTTTTACTTTTCTTTTTTTTGTTATTTTATGTTATGTATATTTATTTTACATTATTATAATATTTTCTAAATAATTTTTTTAAATTTTATTTCTTTTTTAAAATAGATTTATAGTATTTTAAAAGTTTTTTTTATAAAAATAGAAAGGAACACCCAAAGTTTTATTTATTTTAAATCTTTTTAAATAACGCCAATTTTTTTATTTATACTTTAAATAAAAGAATTTTTTTAAATATGGTATCTAAATTATGGAAAGACAAAGATAATTTTGCAAAATTTATTTGCAGAATCATCTGAGTCTACCTTCAAGAGGCTCTGATATTTATTAAAAAAATCTAATATATTATAATTTTATATAACAAATTTTATAATTCCAACATAAAATGGATATATTATTATACATATATCTTTTTATTGTAGTCTTAATTGTAAAAATAAAAAAATTAAATTCATAATTCGATTTTTTGCATAAAAAATATTGATTTCTTAATTACATTTGGTTCAAACGGGGGTGATTAAAAATCAGTAAAAATATCGGATCGGTTTTGAAGCAATATCGAAAAATATCGGATCGGATCGGTGAAAAATATGTGGATCGGCACAGCCCTAATATATATATATTTTTTTTATCTCTTTTAGCTTTCACCTTTTCTGGTGGTAAGCTCCTTCAACATCTCTCTCCACTTTATGTTATTCATACAATCTCTTTTATCTATTTTATACTTCTTTATATTGGCTCTAACTTTATGGCCCCATTGAAGTTTTGGCCTTCCTCTTTTACGTTTGCCCATCACTTCCAAACTTTCAACTTTATTTCCTATGTAGTTCATAGGCCTTCTCATTGTGTGCCCATACCACCTAAGTCTGTTTACCATTAACTTAGTCTTAATGGGCCCTACCTTTAAACTATTTAGTATTCTTGTACTGCGCACCTTATCTTTTCTTGTTACCTCAGCAATCATCCTCAGCATTCTCATCTCCATAGTTTGTAGACTTCTCTCGTCTGATTCTTTGGTTGGCCATGTTTCCGAACTAGTTGTACTATGGAACTGTAAATTTTTCCCTTTAATTTGTGTGGGATTCTTTTGTCAAATAGCACTCCAGATAAAGATCTCCACTTTAACCACCCTTGATTAATCTTATTCTTTATCTCTTTTTCTATTGTGCCGTTTGTTTGTATAGTGGAGCCCAAATATTTGCAGCTTTCAATTGCGGATATCTGCCAATCATTTATATCAATACTCTCCGTTTCATCTCCTCCTATCACTATATACTCCGTCTTTTCTCTATTTACTTTTAATCCGTGCGTTTCTAGGATATTTATCCAATTCACTAACCTTTCTTTCATTTCATCCTTGGATTCGGCAAGTATCACAATATCATCTGCAAATATCATATTCCACGGGACTGTTTGAGGTATAGACTGTGCTAATACATCTATTACTGTAATGAAGAGAAGTGGGCTGAGAGCCGACCCTTGATGAACTCCTTCGGCTATTGTGAAGCCGGCTGAAGTACCTGTTGTGCTACGGACCATTTTTGTATGACCCATATACATATCCTCTATTATTCTTATATATTTTTCGGGAACTTTTTTGTGGCGTAGTAATATATAAATGATTGATACAGTTAGTTATACAATAAATAAATTGTTAAAACAACATTTCCGTGTGTTTAAATTTTCTTTGTTCGATTTGGATGTTGTCATTAGTGTTGCAAAATCGCTCCATTTGAAGCCGATTTTTAAAAAACAGCGCATACTCAGTATTTTATCCAGAAAAAAAAATTACGACTAGATCGAGCCTCTTAAGAACCATTAACCGTGACCTTCGATCTTGATTTTACCCGCTACGGATGTCAGATCTCTTCTATAATATATTAAGAGAGTAGAAACATATTCTTTATCAAAAAAAAAACCTTGTTCATGTAATTTAGCCAACACCCGGCTGATTTCCAGTAAACAAGCCGTGCCGCTAGAAGGATCGGTTGCTCCAAAAGTCCAGGCATCTCTATGGTTTCCCAGTATAACGTAACGATCTGGTTCTATGGTGCCGTTGATGCGAGCTAGGACATTGTAAATCGGTTTTCTTTGGCTTTTAAGGTTCACTTCGAACTTGACTTTCCTACATTTTTTTAAAAATTTTTTCCCGGAAATTTCATTTATCGTCAAAAAATGTGTAATAATGTGAAAATGGGGAAGCAAGAGAGAGAGAGAGAGAAAAAAAGGTGGATAGATGCCAAACCAAAGTCGTTTATTTTCGGTATTTATATTTATCAAACATTTTCTAAGTAGTAAACTATGATTGATTTCAAGGTTTCCTTAATTATATTTCCCAGATAAAAGATATATTATGAATTTTTTTTTTAAAGTAGCTAACCTAAAATTACCACCTGTTTATAAAACACGTGATAAAAATATTCGAAAAAAACTAACATCACCATTAAAAAACAATTATAATGTTTTTTTTAAAAAAACTTCAGAATAAAAAAATCCTCAAATATTTTTTTATAAAAGGTCAAAAAATTTTTGATCAAAATTTACCTTAAAATTTCAAATTTTGCGATTTTTATGCATAAAAAATCTTTCACGATTAAAATCCTAAAAAAAAATTCTTCAGGCCATGTTAGATTCCACTTATATATAGCTTCTACGGCTATACAGCCTAAAAAAAGTATGAGGAAATTTTGTCTTTAAACAAGCCACTCATTTAATTTTCTAAATAAAGATTGCACTCATCAATGTAGTAAGTGAAGTATATAATTTTAGGGATAGAAAAAACCAAAAAAACAAAGTTCCAACTAAAAAAATATTTAAAAAAACAATGAAAGAATATTTTAAAAAAACCATTGAAAAAAACGAACAAAAATATACCAAACACTTGAAAAAAACCAAGATATGGTGTTCTAGTTCAAAATCGGTTTAGCCTACGCTAAAAAGAGATATAGATAAAGGTGGGATTAGATTTCCAAAACTCGAAGCGGTTTTAAAAGTTAGTTTTATATTCATATTATACCAATATTTCTTATCGTCCAAAAATCCGGGTCCCGTCCTGTAAGTCAAATTGAGCGCTCCTTTCCAAGAAACCGGAACCGGAGCACCGCCCATACCGTTTAGCAAATGGTAAGCGTCGGAGTAGGAGATAGGGTAGACCGGAATGGCCGGAAGGAGACCTTTCCGAGGCAGTTCTCTATACATATAAGCTTTTTTTAAATATATATATATATATTGTATATATAATATAGAACAAAACTTAGATGCATAAAGTATAATCTAACTATATTAAAATTTAGATGCAAATCTATTATTTTTTTAATGTTGGATCAGCTGATATGCCAAAATTATCGGATAAGATATCAAAATTACAGAATTTTTTTTAATATGATGATTATTTATTTATTTCTATATTTCTTTCTTGCCATCTTTAATGATATTTATTCTTATTCTATTCTTCTATATACATTTTTTTTCCAATAAAATTTTATATCGGTTGACATCACCTGATCGTCCATCACCTGTTCGTCCTTAAAACAAAACAAAAAAACTTTCTCGCTCTTTAAGTTTAATAAACTCGATTTTTTTTTGAAAAAAAATAAACATGAATCAAGTCATTTTTTTTTAAACCTTGGATAAATGAATAAAACTTAAAATAAATGCGGGTTACTAAAAATTATTAAAATAAATTATTGATTTTAATATTTCAATAAGAGCCAGGATATATTATCAAGGTAATATCAACGACCGTTAATTGTAATTCGTACATGGCCGATTTGAAACAAAAAATAACCAATTTAAAACTTGTAATTTAAATAATTATATTAATTACCACCTATATATATTTTTTTAAAGTGTGTTTTACAAAAATAAATTTTTCCTAGAGGAGGGTAATTAAGTGTAAGTAAGATATTAATACTTTTTATTATTTTTTTAAAAAAAGTATTCAGAAAAAATGCTTTGATTTTGTTAAAATAATTATTGACAATCAAGAAAATGAAATAACATTTGTCCAAATCAAGGACCACGTGACTCCAGTAGATAGGAGCCAATATGGGAAGGGGATTTATAATTATAAATATATTAATCTTGGCGTATAGAAATTTATTTGTTTTCCAACCCACTGTGCCTATATTTTTTTTTAAAAAAAAATTAACCAATAAGGGGCTTGCAATAACATTACTATCCAAAAAATAAATAAATAAATAACTGTATTTTAAATATTCAGAGTTAAATTTTTCGAGGGGAGTGATAGATTCACTCTATATAAAAGGTTTCGTTGGGAGAAAAATTTGATATGGTCGATAATAGGGTTTTGGAAGTATAATCGAAAACGAATGAAATTTTACTATTGGCCGGATAGCCGATAGTCAAAGGGTCGCCATTCATATCGTATACCGTGCCCCTTTGCACACCGGAGTCGGGCATCCACCAAGAGTTGGGAAATACGTTGCCGGAATGGGGGGCAGAGTCCCTGGGATCCGAATATAGTATGATGCCCGAAAGGTTGAAAGTTTCGGCGTGCTTGACCTAAATGTTTTCAAAAAAAAAGTGCGACTATTATATGGCACAAAAACATTGAGAAATTTAGGATGATCAATGACTGCCTTAAGACTTGTATAAATCTGTTTGACATAATGATAGGTCGTTTTATCGGCTTCCCCACCGTGTACATGAGTGAAGAGGGGTAGGAGAGTTTTGCCTTCAAAGAGGGAGGTATGATATATGTGCTGGCCGTTGACAAATTTGACAGGCCATTTTCATATCTCAAAGTTATAGAGCATATATAGAATTATTAGTCACGTGTCCTATTTTTTCAAAAATCGTGGTGCCACTTTTTAAATAAGCAAGATAAAAGACACCATTGTTTTCCAAAAAGAGCATCATGTGACTTAAAAGATATAAATGAATTATTAAGGACACATCGTAAACTTGATGAATTTACAGATGTTTAAAAATTGTTTCAAAGTACAATTCATAATTTTAAATTTTAATCATAGTCTTAGAGGTAAAAAAGACAGTTTTATTTTAATTAAATACTCATTTATTCGGATAAGGAAATGTCGTGAGGGGGAAGATAGTTAAATGTCTTTTGATTCTGCTTTGATTTTTTCTACTTGTCGTGATCGAATAAGACATCAATCCTCCTCCTTCATAAACTCTTTCAGAAGTTTTCCTTCTTCCTGCGCCTTTTCTGGCATGCCCCCTACCATTTGCATGCGTTCTCTGACCATAGTGTGAGCATACAAACGTTCTTGAATAATCTTCTACACAGGTGTCTGAGATGTGGTATTCCCATTTCGAAACAAAGTATGCGTCTAGGCCCCATCTAGATTTCTTACCTAACTGGTCTTTCCGGCATAGCGTGTTCAAGTTGATGCTCTACGGCGATCATCCAATCGTCTCCTCTGTAGGCTGTTCAGATAGGTCTCGTCTCGTTGGCGAAATTCTAAGAATTTATTGTGTACTGATCACCTCATGCTCTCTGAACAACGTAGCAGCCTTTCTTTCTAGCTTCCACACGCCACACCTGTGTTTCTCCCGACGCGTCAACATTCACCATCTCCTCAAATCAAATTGGCGATTCAACAGATGGTAAGGGGGGGGGGAAATCTTGATTATCGATTTCATCTATTTATTTTAAGACTCTATTTTATTTTACCTACCTTTGGTAATTAATTTCCTAACATCTAAATTTTTGTTACAACTGAGAAGAGAAGCAAGCCATAAACAATACGTCTAAGACTAGAGACTACTATATATTCAATATAATGTTAATAATCCTATCTAAATTCATATTTATTAGATTTCTTGCGTCACCAGTCCTTCCAGCGCTCAGGGTGTGTGCTGATTTTACTTTTACTAAACAACCTTATATTTAGCTCCCACAAAACAGCCAAAAAAGTGAAAATTAAAACAAAATTATAACAAAAACAAAAAAAAACGAGAAAATAAATATGGAAAATAACAATACCGCCCAAATACTTAAAACAAGCCAAAATAAGGAGTCAGCAGTTTAGTCTCAGTTAAAGTGCATTAAGTATCAAAAAATAAATCGATCCAGGACACACCTTCAAAACTTTTTTTGTTAATCACCCCAAGTCCTCCATTATAGATAAATCACGTCCCTAAATTTTTTAATTAAACGCCATTTTTTACGTTTACCCGCCAGCTTTTAATCTCACTATTTCCTTTCCAATATATTCTCTCTCTCCTTCACATGACCAATCTAATCTAACCTGATTTCTTTCATCTTACCCTGAAGAGGAGCGGTCATCATTCATCAACGTGACTTCATTCATCACGTGATCCTTCTTAGATCTATTAATATGGACTTTGTTACAATCATCTCTGATTGATTGAAAAATTTTTTTTATAATTATTATAATGTATGAATTGGAAAACAATAAAAAAATATATTAATTTGGAAAATGGAACATTAAATATGAAATATAATCATTTTAACAAAATTAGGTTGTTATTAGATCTCCAGGGAATTTAAACAACTATACTAGATTATATGTTAATATTATATAATATAAAATTATCTGATATTGATTTGAATATTCATGTCAATTGTTCCGTATATTTTATAATTGCTATTTTGTTTTTGTGAATTTAACTTCTAAATTACATATTTAAACATATCCATTAAATTTTAAAATAGAATATAATGTTCATGAGCAATTATATACAAGAATTTTGCGAACTGTATCAAGCTTAAAATGTGTTTTATTTTATTATAGATATATCAAAATAATATTTAATTACTTTGCTTCCCCTGAAGTTCATTCCGTACCTGGCTATAGCGATCTTACCTTGTAAGGATACATTAAATTCGGTTTGCAGCAGCTGAAAATCCTCGAACCTTCCATAATTAACGTACACCAGGTCACTCTGATATAAGAAATTAATATAAGAAGAGTTTAAAAACATTTATAAATAGGTTATCATTAAACTTTTTCTTTCTTTTATTCTTTATCTATCTATCTATCTATCTATCTATCCATCTATCTTCCAATCCAATTCAGTTCTTTCTGAATTCTACTACACTCGTTATTTCTCATACCGGGGGCCCAGAGAGTTAAATAGTAAAAGAAATGAGGCTACCGTGACAGAGCCGCTAGCGGAATAGGCGTTAAATGGCGCGACGATATTGGGATCTTCTTCATCGGCGCGTAAAGGTTTTTCCATCTTGGACGAGACCCACTGAACGTTCCCATATTGGTCTAGTAGGCTTACTCTATTAGGTTTGCTTTGTAAAAAAAAAATCTTTTTTAATCCTATGAAACTCAGGCACAACAGTCAACAGTCAACAGACTCATAGATTCCTTTTCTATTATAAAAAATCGATATCTAATAAACTAATAATATCATGATATACTCTATTTTTGCCACTTTTTTCTAACAAGTAAATTAGAATGTTGCAATCTCTTAGGTAATAAATGAGATAGATAATTTAATAGGATTAATCGAGCTCTATCATTTCCTCTTAAGAGCACTTTATAATAATATATTAATTGTAAATGGAGATGCAGTGTTGGAGCAATAGGATCAAGATCCTAAGAAAACCCAGAAACAGGCTGGGTGAAAGTCTGGTAATGTAAATATTAGGACCACCCCCTCCCCTTTTTAGAATACAAATTTGCTTACTACTCCCTATCCACTTTCCCTGATTATTTTTTAGGATAACGATTCATAATTCGAACAACATAGACTATTAACTCCATTATTAGAATCTGTCATTCAAAAAAAATAGAGGCAACACGCCCAGATTTATCCATCTTCTCCCACTCCGACCCAGGGATATTTTTTAATCCTTATTTTCTAGGAGTCCACCGCATGTTCCTTGAAAAAAAAATATGCAGGCAAACGATATATACCTACCCCTTTCCCTCGATTATTTAGACAGTGAATTTTGTATAAAAACAGCGAAATACGTAAAGGATTATTGATAAAATACATATTTTTCCCAATAATGTGTTAAGAGATAAGCAGTGCTAGTAACAACGTCAGAGGGAAATAATTAATTTAAATCGTAACGATTTATGCGAAAGATACAGTAACAGGGCAATATTTATTATGATTTTTTAAAGGCCCATAAAAATGGAAGTGTTTCATGTTGCATAAGATTTATTAGGGTATGCAACTATCGGAACGTTATTTTTGTTATAACTCAACCAAATGTTTTTAAATTTAATTCCAAAAGGAGCAATATGAAACAGGTTTTTAAAAAAAATATATTGTATATGCAGAGCTCCCTCCTTCTCTTATAAGTTACTTGGTGGAAAGACATTGAATTTTGAACAATATACAAGATGGCCAAGTCCAATGATGTTATTTGCGTAAATTGTAAATTTCCTAACGAAATTTAATTTATTTTATACATTAATAAACTTCTAGTGGATAACGTATAAAAGATACCGCAAAATGATCTATTGTATAATTTATCTGGATTTAGGAATTTATTAGCTTTATACATTAGATATTATTAATTTACCATCCGAGATAACAAAAAATTAATTAGCCGAAATTAGAATTTGACTAATATCCTAAAAAAATAGTTTTTTTTTTGGGGGGGGGGGGGCATTTTCTAAATTTTGATTGACTTGTTTTTAAAAAATTAGATTTGACTTTTCTGAATTCAAATAAAACTCTATTTTTGCCAAACCCATTTTGAACCCGAACCTAGTTCACGATTTCGATCTCGTTTTAAACTCGAACCGAATCAAGTCAAAATATTTCGCGGGGTTCGAAGCCCTGTGGTAAAAAAAAAGGCGTTGTACTTAAATAAATAATATTTTACGCAAAAGACATTTGGAATAAACATAAACCAACGAAATATATCAGGGGAAAAAAGGTCATAACAACCAAAAGAATTAACGAGAAAAATATCGAAACAAATTGAGACTCCATTTTGTCCATTTTTAATCACTAATTAGGGCAAATCTAATGCCTTCTACATTTATCGATTTTCAAGATGGAAAATTGATAACTAATAAGTTTATAAAAAAAAATATAATAAGCTTAGATGATAAATTTCCAAAACTGAAACAGAGATAGAAAAATTCACCGATTAAAGAGACAAATAAACAGCCGTGCCCGAATAAACGATTCGAATGTCGTTGAAATTGATAGACGTTTTAATTCACGCTTATCAATTTAACTATTCGCCCCCCTTCCCCCAAAAAAATATATATAATGAAAAAACTCTGAATCAGGGTAGGATAACATGACATCGTAGGTGATCGTTTGAACGTTATCCAGCTTGTTTTTTGTCCATTCGCTCGATATGTCATTCGCTAACTGACGTTGCCTTTCGGTGCCGGCTAGATGAACTTTTTTAGTCAAGTGGCTATCGAAAATAAAAAATAAACATATGGTATAAAATTATTTGGATTAAGACATTTTTCAAAAGATATATATTTTATTTAAATACTAATAGTGCGAACAAATTGAGCGTTTCAAAAGCTGCGTTGCAAGCGCCAATAATACCTTTTAAATGGCCTCGTACAAATTGGTAAAATTACCGTTTGGCGTTAGAAACCATTTTAAAAAAACGCAAGATTTGCTTTTCCAATACTTTTTTTTTATTCTTCGCTTTGTAATATTATATAAAAATGTAATATTTACTTATAATCCTAAAAAGGAATATTTAGAAATTAAAGAAATAAAGAACGCAGACGAAAATACAATTTTCAAAGATAAATCCTTCTTTTTTTTTAGAACTTATTCAAAATTTTGAATCGACGGATATTAATAAAAAGACAACCTCAATTTAAACAAGGGACGCGTTACGTTTTTTTTATTTAAAAATTACGGCAAAATGTAAACGCTCAATTTGTGCGCACTCTTTTGTCTGAGTTTTCTATTTTTTCTTGTCCTAAAATAATTTCAAATTGGTGAGGTTTTTCAGTAAAACGAATAACTAAAGTGGTTGCATTGTTAATTTGAGTAATTAATTATATTTTGGAAGTGACTCTGTTACATTTAACATTTTGTTTTGTCACAAATATTTGTTCTTTTTTTTTACCATTAAGTTTTAATTTAAAGTAAATTATATTTAAATTTTAATTAAACGTCTAATTAGCGCGCAAGGTAGCCATTTTCTGTTTGTAATTATACCATGATTTTGAACGTATTCGATTGGTCGATAACTTAATTTGGTTCCAGTTCTAAAGTGTTAAAAAGGCACAAAACCGCAGTAAATCCAAAAAACTAGCAATATTATATCGAGCCGTTACAAATCTACTAGTTCGTCAATAATTAACTTTTACGCAACTATAAAAAAAATTATTCGCTGCGAGATGTGTATGGGCATGGATCGGCTGGAGAAAAGGCCTTAAATTCCTTGAAAAAGTTTTTTTCGGTCTAAACCTAATATTTTTGCCCGGTCGGTTCTGGCCCGGACTGCATTTGGTCCGGTCCGCGGGCCGCGTCAACCTCTAAGTAGGTGGCGAGTTCACAAACTTTCATAAAAATTTTTCTTATTTCATTTTTTTTTTCAAATCGATAACTATTTTATATTTTTATTTTTTTTCTTTCTAATATTCAAATAAAGTTTACGAATACAATAAATTTATGTATCAAATTTCCATAAATTTAAATAGTTTTAATATATATTAATTTTCAAATTTCCTGTTTAGCAATTGAGAGTTGTTTTCATAAAAGTTTTTAAAGAAGGGGGGAAAAACGCTTTAAAAAAAATCTAAGGAATTTGAATTTTTTCATATAATTTATGGTGCAATTAATTGCGAAGAATTTTATACTGGGCAAAATAAAATTAAATCAATATTTTTTTTAAAAAAAAAAATTACAAATATCAAAATGTAATAAAGTAGGTTTTTTGAGAGATATAAATCTAGTGATAAAATTCAACGAAGTAAAAAAAAATATATAAATAAAGATTATAAAGGGAACTTAGAAAATTTAGATTATAAATCCCGTGATATTTTTTCAAGTAATTGCTGTCACTGTCAATCTTAAAATCTGGCATTTATTTTTCCAGGAGAATAATGAATAATATTTTTTTTAACGCGTAAGTATTTTATTCATCCAAGTAAAAAATTCCTGGTTATTATCTTTCCTGGCTTTAAAAATGACAAGCTCGCTAGTTAGGGGAAAATACAAAGATAGGCATCGTGCTAAATGAATGAATGAGTTGTTTTAAAAAAATTTGAATTGAAGCAGAAAGGAGAGGAGGAATTCTTTTAAAATAGTTTAAAAAAAATTAAATTATTTTCGTTTTAAAATAATTTAGTCGGTAAGTGGGTAAACTATTGAAGCCATCTATATTTTAATATATTATTTTTTTTTATCTTGTTTCGATCTCTGGTGGGACCAATATTTTTTTGGGGGAATCCAAAAACTCTTCATAAGAAATCTGAGTTAGGAACAACATGTTAACAAAAAAATGATGGTTTATTCTAAGAAATGGTAACTCACCTTTTTAATTATAGAGAGTTTTCCATTTCCAATTTGTGACGCACTTTATATGAGATGTACGTAAAGGGGGAGGGGCGGGTGTTTTATAGCTCGGCGCGTCTTTTTAAACCAATGGGCGGGAGGGTAAATTTGACAATTTTTTATCATTTAAATAAAGAAACAACCAACCATTTTAAAAAAAATATACAATTCTTAAAAAAAAATTCAACATTTCGAATTTTAAAACTTTTCGAATTTTGTCGAAAAAATGTTTATACAGAAATATGAAAAAATTATATGAAGTTATAATATTACTACATACATCGAATAAAATTTATAATAAATGAGCTGGAAAAAATAACCAATATATTTATGGTTTCCAATATAGTATAATATTTACAATATTTATATAATCACTGTCATAAACTGTTGAAACATATTTCTAAATATTAGGTAAATCTAATTTCATTTATTTAATTTTTCACGCCAAAATGGGGCATATCAACTATATTTCATTAACTTTATATCCTCAAAAGTTAATTTTACAATTCTTTTATAAAAAAATTGATTAATAAATCCGCTAGATGGTGTTTAATGTAAAAGAATTATTTTATTATCCATTTATTCGGTTTATGTATCGCAGATCCTCCATCAGAGGAATAATAATTTATAAAAAAATTAATAAATCCTTTCTGACGAATATTTTTTTTATCGAATTAATGAAAAGGAACAATATTTTATAAATTAAGCGGTTTATTCTATGAAAATTGATTTTAAATAAAGGAATTAATTAATAAAAAAAAATAAATAATTTATATAATTTTTCCGAAATCCGAATCTGAGGTGTAATCACAAAATTAAGGTGCGCATCCGACCGGCCCGAAAAATGTCTATCCGAGTCCAACCGACCCGATTCCCGGATGTGAATCGGTTTGCGCGGTTTTAATATATAGATATACCTTACGCGTGAAACTTATAAATAAAATAATCTTATATGCTCCCTTTGATATCCCATTTATCTAAATCGCCTAAATAAATACACCGGCAATTGTTGGTAACATTAAATCTTTTTTGCCAGATCCTCTTTCCACCAACTCCATCATGAGAGCGGAAAACTTAAAAACTAATATAGCCATCAAAATAAGAGCATTCATTCCTAGTGATCCTCATCGTGTCTAATTTTTCAAGCCCGGCCCGGGCCGGAAAGCTTTTTTACAACATTTCAGAAAAGCCCGACCCGAAATAAAAATTATTTGCCCCCCGCGGATCCGAAGCTTGTTCAAAATATATCTATCGAAATTTTCCCATCCAATTGTATTTCAATATATGGTTCATTAAATCCTGGCTATTCAACTAACTTAAAGAGTTACGCAAATTATGAGATATCAATTTTATGTTGCGGGGTAACAGAACGGGGTAAACTGGCATTGGTACCAGGTAGAATGGTGGGAGACGTCATATCATCGGAAAACCCCTGAGAACGATTTTGTGTCATAGTGAATGAATCACATTTATTACTAGAAGAATTTAAATACCACAAAATTAATCATCAAGATTATCTATAAATTAAGGGGATCAAAGAATATCTTAAATTTTACCAATGCATCATCAGGATATCCAATTAGGAAAATAACAGTATTTAAAATTTAAAATAATATTTAAAAAAACCACCATTATTTAATTATGCGAGAAAAAAAATGACATTTTAAATCTGGTTTAAGAGTTTTATTGAGAGCATTCATAATAGTATTCATTTTAGAAAATGAATAATTTTCTTTTTGATTCATTGATATCGACTAGTCAAATTTTTTTTAAAAAGACCAGTTTTCACGTGTCATCAAATTTTTAATTGAAAGTCGGATTTTTCATTTGACAAAATATCAAATTAACTCATGACTTATCAACATATTTTTAATAATTCTCTGACCGTATCTCCTGATGCATTTACTTTTTACTTACAAAGAAATATTATACTAAGGTTAAAAAAAAATTTATGAATAATGATATTTTTCAATCTAAATCTGTAATTTCCCTAATAGAAATATTAGTATTTGGTTTAAATCGTGATTGTAATTTTAAAAAATGGATTTTTTTGGCTTTTTTTTAAAAAAAAAAATTTTGCCAACTCTACCGGAAGCAGACCTACTTTTTCCAAATTTTAAGAATTAAAAGCGGAACCATATTATATAAAAAACGTAAATCCATTTGCATATTTTTTTCGGTTATATTTTATAATGTGATTTTTTTTTCCAGTGAAAATAAATGATATTATGTTATTTTTTATTTTTGGTTTAAATTATTTCTTTTCTTTAAAAGATATTTGAACTCAACATTATATATAAATGTATTTTATAAAGTAACTTGCAATGTAATTAGTTACTTTTAAAATACAATTGTAACCAGTTAATATAGTTTTTAAACCATTTATTATAAGAAATAAATTTCATAATTATATTATAGAATAGGATGGTCTAAAACGTGTAGGGTGGTATTAAAAAAAGATGATATAATGTATGAATGCTCGTTAATGATACGTATCTATTATATACCAATACAATTGATATTTTAGTTATAATTTCTTCATTTTAATACTCAAATTTAAAAAAATAATAATATATTACACAATATGTGTAATTGAATAGCATTTTAAAAAATTTTACACGCCGCGTCACCGCCAGTGATCCTGGCAAATTTCCGGCGACGCACAGGTCTAGTTATAACTCCCGCTTAGGTCGTTATTAAATTTCGAATCCCTCATAAGAAACCTTTTAAAGTGAGGAGTTATCGGCAAAGTTATAAAGCGGAAATCTTCTTATATTTTATATAAACTAATCAAAGACTACAATCCAATTTTAAAAAAATATTCAGGAACCGGTTTCAAAAAAAGTGCAAATAATGTAATAATATAATATTGTCTAGATTTGAAATGCAATGTAATTCATTTCAAATTTATTTTTAGAAAATCTTCGATTGCTTTACGCGGAGCTTAGAACCCTGGAAGCAGACGAACTAAAGTCTTGAGAGAACCTGATTGGTTGAACGATCAATAATCACATGTTTATAAACACGCAATAACCACAAACAATATGTTTTTTAATTACCAAAAATAAAAATAAGGAGAGAGCCCGATCGATATTTTTATTATGATAAAAATTTTTTATTTTATTTAAAAAATTGGTTATTTTTCATGAAAAAAAAAGAAGCGACTCTCGACTCAATATAGGGTTTTATCTTTTATATTTAACTTACAAATAATATTAAACAGTACGTTGCACTAATAATCCCATCTATCCCCCTCCCTATTATATAATACATTTTAATATGATATGATATATAATATAATTTTAATTAGATATTTATTTCTAAATTAGAGGAGAAAAAAAATATAAAAGATTGATAAAATAAGAAATTAGATTTTTAAAAAGTGTAAAACAAAAGGCGAGGAATTTTTCTTGAGGTTGGGGCAGTTATGATCCATATTTACAAAAAATAAAAAAGTTTTTTTTTGAAAGAGGGTATAATTATTATTGTAATGTGAGATCATAATATTAATTAGATAATTTTTGTTTAAATTAGGGTAAAAACAAAAAAAAAAAATTTGATTTAAAGTGTAAAAAAAAGGGGGGAAAATTTTTCCCGAGGTTGGGGCAGTTATGATCCATTTTTATCGTGTTATTAAATTGCCTAACTTTTACATTCTCATTTGTGTCAAGCTTTTAGCCTAAAAAAATTGAATTGAGCCTCTAAGCTGACACTCAACTAAGAAAGAAAGAAAGAAAGAAAAGAAAGAAAGAAAGAAAGAAAGAAAGAAAGAAAGAAAGAAAGAAAGAAAGAAAGAAAGAAAGAAAGAAAGAAAGAAAGAAAGAAAGAAAGAAAGAAAGAAAGAAAGAAAGAAAGAAAGAAAGAAAGAAAGAAAGAAAGAAAGAAAGAAAGAAAGAAAGAAAGAAAGAAAGAAAGAAAGAAAGAAAGAAAGAAAGAAAGAAAGAAAGAAAGAAAGAAAGAAAGAAAGAAAGAAAGAAAGAAAGAAAGAAAGAAAGAAAGAAAGAAAGAAAGAAAGAAAGAAAGAAAGAAAGAAAGAAAGAAAGAAAGGAAGAAAGAAAGATTGGAATATTTTTTGGTTAAAAACATGACTGTTATAGAGTTGACTAAAATTAGGTAGTTTAACAATATTTTTTTGAGATATGATATTTATAAGGCTAAAACAAAGGAAGAAAAGGGAAAAAGATTATGATGGCTAGGTTCTGTACTGTAAATGTCTTAAATCTATTTCAGAAAAGCAATTAGGACATCCCATACTTTTTATTAAAGGTTATTATATTGGTAGTAAAAAGAGATGGTAACAAAATAAAACATTTTTTTTAATTGTAGAGATAATTTTATTAATATTATTATTCGTTCATAAATTTTTGGTTATCGATCTTATTATTATGTATTATATATTTTGGATGTTTTGTCTCAAAAATTTTTCTTTTGAAAAATGACATTTAGATTAAACAAAGAATTTAAGAAGAAATGGCTACCAGAAAATAATTATTTATCAGGAGATGGAACTTTCTAATTTTAAGATATTTAAATTTTTTATTTTCCTTTTTTTTAAACTTATAAACTAGTTATTTATTATCACAATTTAGTCACGTTCTGGGAGTAATGCATTGAAACGAAGTTCTTTATACAAATAGTATATTTTTTTTTTGATTTTAAATTATTATTCAAAAATTTTTTATTTATTTGAATGAACCACGTGATGGAACGATTAGTTAGGTAATTGTTGCCTAAAACGTGACTAATTCGGCTCAAGATGGGGAGGAAGGGTTCCGTAGAAAATCTACCAAGATTTAAGACGTCAGTTATTTTATTTTCAAAAAAAAAACTCCCAACTGAAATTAAAGTTTTCAGGCTAAACTCCCCCTACATCATACTAAGAGCATTAACCCGTCTCAAGTCCTGCCAGGTAGTAAAGGTTATGCCTAAAATCAATATATATTTAAAAAAAATAAAAAATACGGCTTTGGAGACCATTTGACGTCAATTACTTAATTAAAAATTGGCGATTTCCATTTTTTAGACAAAATGTGAAAAAGGACATTTTCAAATCAATTTTATTTTGGCAAGATAAAATATATCGTAACCACCAAAAAAAAATTTTTTCTCGCTTTTGTCATTTTTAACGTCGAAAAAATAAATAAAATATTAATGTGTTTTAAAATTATTATTTTTAACAACATTTAAAACCCTCCTTTAAACAATATTAATAATATTTTTATTACTTATTTATTAAAAATATAAGGAATAGAAACAATTTGTAAAAAAAATAATAATAAGTTTTAAAAAATATATAAGACAAGAAAAGCCGTGGGGGACAATGATAACAACAGGTAAAAAAATATACATATTATATTATGACAATCATTAACAAAACTACTGGTTTTTAAAAAATATATATTACGATGTTGATAAAAATTTTAACATGAAATATAAATGTAATTTTTCTCTTTTTTTTTGTCGTCCGTGACAACATAATTTGGCGTTATATTTGAAAATTGATTCCAAATTTTGATTAAAAAATAGGGAAAAATGTAAACGAAATTTATTTACAAAATTAAGAGATACATTAATATTTATATATACTAAACCAAAACGCGACATTTGACTAATTTTAAAAAAAATGGTATTTTCGGGTAAGTCAATTGTTATTTTAACCATTCCACTGGCTCGATCCTTTTAGCTCTGTCCCCTTAATCTCGTCCGATTTTTAAAAACGACCAACTCAGTATTCTATCCATAAAAATATTAAGCAAACCCGAAGATTTTGCTCATAGGGTGGCACAAAGGTTTGGACATCTATCAAAGAATCTCGAGGCTCGGGCAATATTTTTCGGGCTAAAACATTGATTTTTAGCTGTTTTTAAAAATCTGCTCAAATTGAGCAAGTGAAAAAAAAAATTAAAAATAAATGATAATGAATTCATTTTTTTGATTGCTCATTTATTTTGTTATTAAAGAAACAATAAAAGATAGTTCTTTTTGGATATTTTAAACAATTTTTTTTTTGTATAAAAAAATTCCCGATAGATCGCGTCTTTTATCCATGAGTCCGATCGGGTTTAGCGGACCTCTAACCAGGATTTTGGTCATAAAATTTTGATCCCAACTAAAAGTAATGAATATCAAATATATTTATTAATGGTGAGAATTATTATATTAATTCCCATTGTTTCCGATACAATTATGTATTATTAAAATTGAAAGCCAAAGAATATCTTCAAGATACCTTGGCAATCATGACAATGTAATTTCAGGCGATTCTCGGGAAAAATTTTACCATCTCCAGAGGATGTGAATTGCAATATGTAAGTAACGCTACATAAGAGCTACACTTTCGCGTTTTTTTAAATATTTTTTTATTTTGATATAGTTTATTTATGAAATACTAGTATATAATGAACAAAATTTAATATAAATCTAAAAATTAAATTAGTATTATAATGTAATTTTTTTTTAAAAAAATAGTATTATTAAAATGAAATTAATATAAATCTTCAGAATAAAGGCAAAACCTAAATAAACAAATTTTAATCAATGGTAGCATTTGAGGGTATAAAGGATAAGGTGTGCTCAAGTTAAATGTCAGCAATAGGTGTTTTTATACAATGCAGAATTTTTTTAAAAAAGGAACATGTAGGGTAGACTGAGTTTAAAATATTTTATAAGCAAAATAAGCATAATGGGGTTATATTTAAAAAATATTTTGTAATTCAAAATTTTGCATATTCTATATGTTTAAGTATATACATATATAAAAGTTATAGATTAAAATAGCAAAACCAAAAAAAAATTAATAAAAAAGAAAAAAACCAACCAATCAAATCATTTTAAACATTAGACAAATGGATTGTCTATCCAACTATTTGGTCAATTAAAAACTAGAATTTGGATTAGTTATTTTTTGCCAATATAAAATTTTGGAATTCAATTTATATGTGTTTTTTCAAAAAAAAAATTAGCCCCTTTATTTTGTAAAGACTAGTAATATGATTTTAATTAATGCAAATATTCTTATATATAAATAATGATAGATAACTAATAATGAATAGTTTTGAATTGTAACATAATTTTTTATATAAATCAGCATAAAAAGGTCAATCAATACTTAATTATAAAATCAGGCTTATATAAATAGGGGAAGCAAAAATTCAATTAAATTAAGTTTAAAAGTCACCAAATTATTTTTTTTGCATTTAAAGTTCAATTTAAAAGTTATAATATTATATAAATTATAAAAATTAGAGCCCTTGCTAATATTTATTCTTTTTATGTATAACACAATCAAAAAATGGTCCAATCCCATTTATTGAAAATTTTAGTATAATCCTAAATTTCATTTTATAAATCTAAATCCAATCTGATTCAATTTTTTTTTATTGGTTGCAAATAATATTATTAATTTATTTTAGGGTTAGAGTCTAACATAAATTTAGAATCAATGTTTAAATTTGATGAAATGTCTGTCCAAATCCAATTAAATAGGTCTGTGCAATATAAATTAAGCCCATCATCTTAAATTAAGTTTAAAATATTTTTTATACTATAATATACTGCATAAATATTAACAAATTTAATATTCTAAGCTGTTTAGTACCCTTAAATGACATTTTTGATGTGACAAGACTAGTTTGTTATTATGTGATTTTTAAAATCTTAGGTAAATGGGGGATAGGTTAAAGAGTAACAAATTTCAATTTAGTTCTGGGCTGCCAAAAGTCTTAGGATAGCCATGCATAAATATTTAAAAATTAATTTCTAAATTTAATTCATTTAAAAACATGTATGTTCAAGTTTATTACTCTAAATAGTGTTTGATATTAATTTCCTTGACATTTGAGAGTATATCTTCTGTAATTTTATCATGAGCTTCGGATGTTAATCTGACAAGTGTATCACTATAACAATGATCTTCTGGATGATGTACAGCATGTCCAAAATATCCAATTAGAACTCCAAAGCATAAACTCAATACTATTGACATAGCTAGAACTGATAAGACATTGCTACGAGGAATCATTTTTTTAAAGCTCGGCCCATACACACGAACTCTTCCATTTATATCTTCTGGCCATGATTCTAATTCCGTATCAGCAGTTGGGTCATTTTCGTGTTGCTTATATCCGGCCATTTATAATGATATATTAATAATTAATCATTTATGAACGATATATAAGTAAATTAACATTTGCATATGAATAATAAAATAAAAAATAACTAATTTAAATTAATGAATGAAACGCTTAAAAATCCTAAATTACAAGCAGAATAGATTCTTATAGAACAACCGAATTTACTTACATATTAATAAAAAAAAAGTAGCTCATTATTCAGAAGGGTAAAGCAAAATTTTAAATATTGTAATAGACATCTCATATTATTTATTTATTCTTATTATTATATTATAGAAATTAAAATACAAATTATAAAGATTAGTTTTAAAATGTATGCTTTTAAAACAAATAAATTTTATAATCAATAAATATTTTGAAATTATTTGCCTTACAATTAAGCACTAAAATGTTTCATAAACCTCTGGAAGGAATTATTTATTAGAAAATGCAGAAAATTAAACATTATCCACCCATCAATAATCAGAGTTGGGCAGTACCGCGAATACTTGTATCTAAGATTCAAGATACAAGATACTTTTTTACCTTTTACTCAGTATCTTATTGACATTTTTAATAAGATACTAGTATCTGTATCTAAGATTCTTTATTTTGAAAAGAATCTTGTATCTTTTTCATTTTCATTTTCTTTAAAAAGATACAGATACAGATTCTTTTTAATATTCATATTTAAAACATTTACATATCATACAATGTAACTTTATCGTGAAATCTTGTATTATTTTCTTTATTTTTTCCCGCTATATTTTAAATATATTGATAACCAAAATTATTTGGAAATTTTACAGGTCATAAAGATAGATAGTTTAAAAATAACAACACCAAAACTAAATAAGTAAAGGATATATTTTATATGTAATATTTTTTCATTGGTAGAATTTTTAACATTCATGGTAGTGAAGATGAAATTATGGAGATAGGTTCTCCTGAATCAAATCAGAATCTTAAAATTCTAGATGGAAAATTTTATAAAGTAATTTATGTGAAAAAGGACAAAATCTGAATGTCAAAATTGCACAGGTAAAAAATTTATTAAGTTCAACAAACTCCTCTACAAACTTTGTTAAACATATTAAAGTATATTATACATTTTTATTTTATAATTATTAACATAATAATACCTATACTTAAGTCCCTCTTAGATAATTGTTATTAAAATTTTTTATATGATGGTTGATTGTCATATTAAAATCATTTTGGATATATATTTTTTAAAGGTGTACCGATACCACTTTTTGGAGACCAATCCGATCCGATATTCCCGATATTAAATTGATATCGGCCGACTACCGATCCGATATCATATCTAATTTTGTATTCCGTAAAAATACCAATGATTTTAATAATATACTTTTTATTAGTATAACATCTATAATTTAACTATACCATAACTTATGTCATTTAAATATATTATAATGATCAGTTGTAGTTTATATTCAAATAAATTGCAATTTTCAAAGTATATAAAATATTTTTATTGTTAATCGAATCAAATTTTATAATATTGGCCGATAACCGATATTTTAAAATGGATGAAATATCGGCCCGATCCGATAAAAAATATTGGCACATCCCTAATATATTTTATATATAATTATTTTAGCAAGTTCTTATTAGAGGAAATATTTAAGCTACAATTGATATATAACATTAGATAATTTTAAAAGGATCTTAATAAAATAATTATGATAAGGAAGAATTTAACTTTATTAGTTACTTTTATTTATTGATGATATAAGTAAAATTACATTACAGTAATTTACAAAATTTAACCAATTTAAAATGCATTAAAGTAAATTGTTACGTATTTATTAATTAAATATTAATGATTATGCAAGAAATATATAGAAAAAATTTGAAAAGAGATTTAAATGATATTTATATATATGATATTACAAACGCAAGAATTAATAAGTCATATTAGAAAATAAAACTAATTTAAAAAATACATAAATATCACAAACAAGTAATGATAAATACTTATAAAAGATAATGAATAAAACTAGTATATTTTTTTAAAGATGCCATTTAGCATACTCCAAATATAAGCTATATTTAAAACAACACAGAAAAAAACCTGCAAATTCTAATAAATCATTTGATTTAATTTTTTTTTTCTTATTTGCAAATTTTAAACTCCCATTAAATATACTACTCTCCCTTCCCCGTTTAAGCGATTGGGCAAAAACTAATATTAAAATCCCTGGTTATTATAATTAATTCATCAATAAATATTTATTAATTATTGCAAATATTTATTCTTATATGTGTATGCTCTGTTCTTCACAAATAAATAATAAAACTGTATAAACTATTCTAATTTAATTGGTAATGTTAATTTAAAAGTATCTTGTATTTAAGATACTCTAATTTAGTAATAGATACAAGTATCTTTTATCTTGTATCTTTTTGATATTTTGAAAAAGATACTAGTATCTGTATCTAAGATTCATTTTTTAATAAAGAATCTCTATCTGTATCTAGATTCTTTTTCCGGAGGACCTGCCCAGCTCTGTCAATAATTATACTTTGGTGTTAGTCTCAAAAACATCCCTAACCAAAACAAAGCTTTCAAACGGTCCATATTCATTAAAATCAGTCTGATAACATGGATACAAAATTTTACCAATCGCCATCTGGCCACTCTTTTATAAGACAAATAATTGAAAGTTGATACCTGCAACTTTATTTCTTTCTTTTTCCAGGTAGAAATTTTTAGAATTTTTGTATAAAAAATTCTTTTAAAAGGAGTCGAGCTTAGGCTTGAATATCATAAATTTATTTAAAAGATTATATAGAATATAATTTTACACTAAAATGATAGGATCAACTTATATTTTTAATAAATTTACTATTAATTTATTTTGTCATAGAATAGGTTAATTCCTATAAAGTACTTCATTAGAACAAGATATTTAGAAAAATAATTTCAACATAATCTAAATATATTCTATTTATTTAATACTACTAGAAGCTATTTATTAGCTTATTATGATTTACCCTTATATCACTTGTTTTTAGTTATATTTAGCGGTAATAAGCGTTTTTACCTATGTTTTACATATAAATAAAAAAATACTTAATATTTACTATAGGAAACTTAATAATTTTAATAAATTTACTATAAATTTATTTTGTCATAAAAGAGATTAATTCCTACAGCGAACTTCTTTGAAATAAATACTTAGATATTTAAAAAAATATAATTTTTCAATAACCTAAATATATTTTCCTATTATTTAATATTACTAGAAAGTATTATTGGGCTATAATGATTTAACCCTTAATATCCTTTGAATGTGTTTAGTTATATTATAGCGTGATATTTATAAGTATGTTTCAAGTATATATATAAAATGATACTTTAATATTACAACTTTAATAAATTTACTATTAATTTATTTTGTCATAGAATAGGTTAATTCCTATAGATAACTTCTTTGAAATACTTAGAGATTTGATTGATAAAAGTTTCAATAAATTAAAGGTAGTATAATATTCATTTAAGAAAAGAAAAAGAGTAAAATAGTCTTGTGAAACGGCTCGCTTTGAGTCGATTTTTAAAAACAGCTAATTCAAAATTTTATCCCGAAAAATATTACGTAAGTCTGAAGATTCTGCTCATAGAAAGAACAAAGGTCTAGACATATATTATTCGAAATCTAAAGGCTTAGAAAATATTTCTTTGGCTAAAATATTGAGTTAGCCGTTTTAAAAAATCGGCTCAAAATGAGCCGTTTAACAACACTAGAGTAAAACTTAGGTAAATACAAATCAAATGTAATAACGTCTCTAAAAAAAATAACCTAATAAATTTACTTTTTGGCGATGTGTTCATAAATATGTTGTATTTAACTAAGGTTAATTATAAATGTCCAAACCAGCCTTATTATACGTATTATCTGAAATATGTGAAAAGTCAACAGCTGTGTTCATATTTTGGCATATCAATAATGTCGTTAAAATCGTGGTGCAATGCAATCATTTTCAGAAATCGGATGAGCTAATTTATCGATCCCGAATGATTTTCCCTTATAGCTTAAATATTATGGTGCATTTTTTTTCAACCAGAATATAATTTTGGAGACAAAGTCTGCGTATGATGGTGTCCAAGTAAATCAGCTTCAAATGGTTAAAAATTGGAGGTAATAAGAAAATCACAATAATCAATAGCTTATTTAAGGAATGCCTAAAGCGAAATTTTTCATAAATTTTTTTATTCAATATTTTGTAAATGGTATTTTATTTTAGGCTGTGTGTCCAAAATGTTTTGAAAAAATACTTAAAATTTAAAAAATTTTTGCAAATTAATAACAAAACATTTTGGAGACAAGTTAAATATTCAAAATGCTTGATATGATTCAATTATTAGTTATTTATTAAAAGATATGTAACTGTTTGATTGTTTGTATTTATTATTTTATATTAACTTTCAGCTATTAAACTCTGTATGACACTATTATTTGATATTGGTTATATTTAAATATTATTTATATACTTATAATAAATACATATGTTGTAAATAATTTCACCAACATTTAATAAACTGTTGGAAAACCAATAATAACTTTTATTTAGAAAGATAATTTATATGGAAAAATGATATAAATTATTATATTTGAGTTATATAATAAAATCGTGATGAAAATAATATAATATAAAAATTGGGAAAATTTAGATAAATGAAGCTAAATTATTAATAAATATAGGGCTATCATTTTCTTTGTTAGCATTAGTATCTTGATCTAGTTTTTATTCATTAATAAATATCAAGTAATAGTAATATAATCTACAAAACATACAATATTGGTAATGTCAGGCGCGTAACCAATGGGGGGGAAAGGGGGAAATTTCCCCCCCCCATTGTAAATTTGACTGTTTTCATAAATATCATTTTAAGCTAATAAAAATTTTACTCACCCCCCCCCCGCCCCCCCCCATAAATCAAAATTTTACAAATATTTGAATATCAATTTTCCAACATAAAACTTATTTTTTAATAAATAAATTTTTTTAAAATTTCCTTTCCTTGTGAGTACATTAACATTATTCAAAAAAAAATATAATAAATGGACAAATTTTTAGTCAAAGACAAAGATA